GGGCGTCGACTTTTAGCAGAATGTCCCACGCGTGTCGAACAAGATCGAGGCGGATGCCTTGCAACAGTGCCAGCCCCGCGGAGAATAACAAACAAAAACATTGCGCAATTCTGAAACGCCGTGGCTGCGACATTGGCTGCCGCAGGCACGGGACACAAAACGGGCGCAACTGCCGTGAACGGGGGTCAAATAAGGCGCCAATGCGGCCAGGCTGGGCATCTTAAATGCTCGGCTTGCTCTCGGGCTGGTTCACGGACGCTTCGCCCCTGAAGTGGCTGCCGAATGGTGCGAAGCGATGCTTGAAACCAGGGCCAGGAGCCGAATGGAGTAAATGTTTGGTGTTTGTCCTGTGGTTGTTCCATTGGCGGTGGTCCCGCGGGTTGTCCAATGGTTTTCGCGTGGGTTGTCCTGCGGTTGTCCTGTGATTGTTTCGTGGCTTGTCCCGCGTTGTCCCATGGCTTGTCCCGTGGGCTGTCGCGTGGCTGCCCCATGGGAAATAACATCAAAATGCGATTCCAATTTCAAAATATACGCGAAACGACATGGACACCAACGTGCGCATCAACCTGCAGGTCGACATGCGCGACGGCATCCACATTGAGATGCACATCCGCTTGCAATCGAAACAACAACACACATATGCGTCGGAACGTAAACGACGGATCCAACTGCTATCGAACTGCCAAGCGGCACGAAAGTCACAGTGCAGTTCGGAACGCTGTCCTGAATGCAAATCGGCGTACACCTCGCGATGCAAGTAGAAGTGCATATAAATAACCTCAAGCACATCATAATGTACATTGAGACCCAGACCCAACTGCAATCGGAACGCAGATCTGCTTTTTCATCATATAATCGCATATGGTGTATCCTCGTCATCTTGTCCTAGCTCTGGTGATTCCTTGACGTGGATCTCCGTGGCGGAACCTCCCTTGACGTTGACAGACAACATGGCGGCGCGTGCGCCGCTCCTTTTACCGCCCACGAACCGCCAAATGCGCTCCGCAAAATAACTTGCGCTGAATGCGCGTGGCGGCACGCCCGCGGAGGGCAAAATAAGGCAAGAGGGAGCGAAAAGACTCGC